ATACGGCATGCTTTCATTCATCGGACGGGGTATTGAGTACAAGAGTTAGCAGGTCATGTTACAGTTGTGTAGGACTTTGGTTCGACCACATTTGGAATACTGCATACAGTTCTGGTCACCACATTACCAAAAGGATGTGGATGCGTTGGAGAGGGTGCAGAGGAGGTTCACCAGGATGTTGCCTGCTATGGAGGGTGCTAGCTATGAAGAGAGGTTGAGTAGATTAGGATTATTTACATTAGAAAGACAGAGGTTGAGGGGGGACCTGATTGAGGTCTACAAAGTCATGAGGTATAGACAGGGTGGATAGCAAGAAGCTTTTTCCCAGAGTGGGGGACTCAATACTAGGGGTCACGATTTCAAGGTGAGAGAGGAAAAGTTTAAGGGAGATATGCGTGGAAAGTTCTTTACGCAGAGAGCGGTGGGTGCCTGGAACGCGTTGCCAGCGGAGGTGGTAGAGGCGGGCACGATAGCGTCATTTAAGATGTATCTAGACAGATACATGAATGGGCAGGGAGGAGAGGGATTCAGATCCTTGGAAAATAGGTGACAGGTTTAGATAGAAGATCTTGTTCGGCGCAGGGTTGGAGGGCCAACGGGCCTGTTCCTGTGTTGTAATTTTCTTTGTTCTTTGTATGTAACCAGTATGCTTTCATAACCACTTCAACAGCGCCAGGATATTGACCCAGCATAAGAGAAGGAACGGCATATTATTTCCAGGTCAGGATGGTGAGTGGCTTGGACGGAATCATGCAGATGGTACAGTTGCTATGTATCTGCTCCCACTGTTCATCACGGTGATGTAGGGTGTGGGTTTTGAAAGTGTCCTCGCAGGACCCTTGTGAATTTCTGCAGTGGATCTTGCAAACACTTCAGCGACTGAGTGTCATTGGTGGAGGGAGCGGATGTTTTTGGATGTGGTGCCAATCAAGCGGGCTGCTTTGTCCTGGATGGTATTGAGCTTCTTGAGTGTTGTTGGAGCTGTATCCATCCAGGCCAGTGCAGAATATTCCATCACATGCTGCTTTTCAATGACATTCCCTCCATTATAAAGTCAAAAGTGGGAATGTTTGCTGATGATTGCACAATGTTCAGTGCCATTCATGACTCCTCAAAGACTAAAGCCATTTGTGTCCATATGTAGCAACAGCTGGTCAATAGCTAGGGTTGACTGGATAAGTGGCAAATAACATCTGTGCCACACAAGTGGCAGTACAACAATAACACTGGCATTAATGTGGATATTCTGACCATAAAAAACAAATCCAATTGCTATTAACTGTCTGTTCTCGATCATCAGTAAAATACTGGAAGGAGTCATCAACAGTGCTAGCAGGTAACACTTGTTCTGATGATTTAGTTGAAATCCCACTGGGCCTTGTTCACCATTCCTCTACATTGGGCAAGGTATGTTGAGCATTAAGTTTCTTACAGCTTCATGCTGGACATGTCTTGGTGATTTTCCTTTTCAAAAGTAAAACACTTTATATTTGCCTGCCTTAAGTTCCTTCATCTACTGGCCTATCCAATTTATAAATTTTGTCCAAATTACTTATTTTTGAGTGCCTTATCTATTTAGTGTATTGTAGTCTAAGCTTGATGTCATAAATCTTTACCCCTCTGTTGGTTATTACAGGTTATATGGTTTATATTACAGGTTATTATCATTCATTACAGTTTTTCATAACTTGACCAACATGTGACCACTTGACCAACACGTGAACACTTGCCTGCAAGATAGCAGTGATTACTCCAGTGTTGTCTGTGAAGTTTCCAGCACATTGAGAGCTGAATCATTTCTCCTCAAAAGCTGCTATCAATTTGCACAAATCTAGTACTCACCTTGTTGCTGGCAGACAGCTGGAGGTATAGCATTCGTGACAGAGGCAGCCATGAGATGCAGTTGGGACGTAGATACCTCTACTTTATCTGATGAGGGTGGCAGCTCAGTAACACTTGCACTGCCTGGAAGGCTATTCAGCAATTCCCCAGCATCAATGTCGATAACATTGAGGAACTTGTGACCAGATAAAGCCTGTGAAGACCAAGGAACACACCAAGAGATTTTTTTTAAAAGAGAGGACGGAACACGTCTGCTCACTCTGCATTGCCCCCAAAATCCATCTTAAGTTTGTACCAACCCCATCTTTTGTCCATATCCCCCAGTCCCATCACTCTCTCTCAGCATGTCAAGTCTCTTAAATGACCATTTGCAGAGCCTCTTTCAATGTTCCCTGATAGTCTCCTCCCAAACTTCAGCTTCAGGTGAACAAGATTCTTGTGTTCCTGGGCAACCCTAGTGAAGAATAATACATCAAATGCAAGTATATGTCACAATCTCTTATGAACATGTGTCCTTAAGAAACATAAGAAATAAGAGCAGGATGTTTGGCCCCTTCAGCCTATTCTGCTATTTAATAAGATCATGGCTGACCTGACATTCCTCACGTTCACCTGCCTGCCCTTTCCCCATAACCCTTTATACCCAACTAATCAAGAATCTGTCTATCTCAGCCTTGGAGTCTAAGAAGAACTGAAAGTTGGTGATTTAATGTAACTCTGGACTTTTTGGAGAATTTAAACCTGAACACAGGCAGCAATGCAGAGTAGGCAGACCAGATAATGTTATTCTAAAGAAGAGTCAGACCAGATTCAAAATATTAAGTCTTTTCACATATACTGCCAGACCAGCTGAGTTTCTTCAGAATTCTCTGCTTGTCAACATCTTACTTAGATCCATCAGCCATTCCTAATTTCCTTCTATACACTGAATTTACTGTACATTGCAGATACCATGGACTTCAAAAAAGTCCCCTTTCAGACTTTACCCCTGTCCCACCGTGAGCAGAAAGATGGCAGGTGCAGAGTAGTATATTCCCCAATGCCCAACTTCAGACCACTGTAGCACAACTGAACATTTATTGAAACATAAAGCATTCGTCACACTTACTTGGTCAGGTGTTTCAGGAGATGTGGGTATGAGGAGAGGTTTCTGACACATTTCATTAATGAACCGAAGGTTCATGAACACATCTGGAGGAACAACTTGGACTGGAGGGGGACTGACTGCTGTGGTTTGTACTGTGGGCAGAGTAAATTATCAGACACTAATTAGAGTGCAGTCCATGTGGTCAGTCAAAATCCACCAATGCTGGACACTCTGACACTTACCAATGCAAAACCGTGTTGCAGAAACAGTCCAACAAAAAGGGAAAAATGCCTACTCATCCCTCCACCATGATGTCACCAGGAAAGCACCCACCCACTCCTGGCCTCACCAACTCCAACCAGCATATCGCCCAGTCACACAGGCCTTAAATCCCAAAGAGGCCACTCACTGTGTCCCAAGAGTCAGTCAAACCGACCACACAGATAGACAAACAGGAGGCTGGAAGAACACAGCAGGCCAGGCAGCTTCTGGGGGAAAGGAGAAGTTAATGTTTTGGGTATTACCCTTCTTCAGGACTGGTCCTGAAACGTTGACTGCTCCTTTCCCCCAGATGTTGCCTGGACTGCTGTGTTCTTCCAGCCTCCTGTTTGTCTGCCTTGATTGCAGCATCTGCAGTTTTGTTTGTCTCAAACTGACCACACAAACTGTAGTGGTTCAAAAAGGGAGCTCAATGGTTAAGTGCTTGCAACTACTGAGTAAGAAAGTCTAAATCTTTATTTTGGACAAATCTAATTTAGCATGTGATTGGCATTAAACTGAAATTTACAGTTTAAATTCTGTAGTTGCCAGCATCAGTGAAAGAGCAGCTTAATTGAGAAGCAACTGAAACCAGATCCTCATTAAGTGAGTGAGATTGGCTGTTTGTCATAGAAGCATATAAAACTAGCCATTTTAGTATGACTTACAATAAAGGTAAAGTCACCATTGTCACAGATGACCACTCTTGCACTGCAGAGAGAGACAACTGGTGGTCATTTAACCTGAGCACAAGTAGGAATTGAACCCATGCTGTTGGTATGACACTACATCGCACACCAGCCATCCAGCCAATGGACCTCACTGTCTCCCTTACAATAGTGTGCTACATGTAAGTGATTAAGGGAGGCCAGGGAAAGAAGGGAAAAAGGTATTCTGTTGCTTTTGTTTTTCTGAAACGTTTTTAGCCTCAGGAGTTTATTCTCATTCTATTACAAGAATGAAAGCTGGTTATTTAGTGAGTGGCTAAAATCTATTTAATTTATAATATAGCAAATGGTGGGAAGGTTAACAAAATATATATGAAAACATAACTGAATACAGAAGAAAATAAAATAATTAAGGTTCCCGAGGACACATTGTGAATGTCAGGATAGGTGATGTACCACAGTTGTACCACGTGGGAGTTTCTATATGTCAGTTTGGTCCCGAGCAAACATGTCTGCGGCAAATGTTTTTAAAAATTCATTCATGGGATGGGGGAGTCATTGGCTAGGCCAGTGTTTCTGGCCCAGACCCAATAAGGACAGCAGATTCCTTCCCTAAAGGACAGCAGTGAACCAAATGGGTTTTTCCAACAATTGACAATGGTCATCATTAGGCTCTTAATTCAAGATTTTAATGAACTGCCATGGCAGGATTCAAAGATGGCCTAGATGAGGAGATCATTGTATGTTTTTGGGATAGTTTCATAGAACAGCTTGTTCTGGAACCGACCTGGTTATACGAGGCCTGGTATTGTGCAAGGAAGAAGGACTAATTAATAATCTCACAATGAAGATGTCCTTAGGTAGAAATAGAACATAGAACATAGGACAGTACAGCACAGTACAGGCCCTTCGGCCCACGATGTTGTGCCAAACTTTTACCCTAATCCTAGACCATAATATGCTTGGACTTTGCAATCAGTTTAGGGAAAGAGAGGGATGGGTTTGAGACTATTTTTAAAAATTTAAATAGTGGTAATTATGCAGGAATGGAAGTAGACCTTTAAAGTTTTTGAGAAGATTTGTAGCTCGAGTTGTGGACGAAGTTCGAGGCTTGTTCGCTGAGCTGGTGTGTTTGATCGCAGACGTTTAGTCACCCTGCTAGGTAACATCATCAGTGTGCTTCCTGTGAAGCTTCACCGAAGGTGCACTGGCAATGTTACTGAGCAGGGTGACTAAACGTCTGCAATCAAACACACCACCTCAGGAAGTAGACCTGGCTAAAATGAATGAGGTTAAAGGATCAGTCACTAGAGATACAGCAGCAGCATTTAAGGGAATGTTTAGGAATACACTGAATTCCAAAATATTCCAATGAATAAGAAAAATTCCAAGGGATACATCTACCCTCTGTAGGAGCCACTCCTTAACTCAAAATGTTGAAAATAGTATCAAGTTTATAAAGAAAATGCACATAAGTGTCGAATGACAATTGGTCGGTCAAGAGATTTCAGCTTTTACATTCTGTCCAAAGGATGACATGAAAAGGGAGAAAAAATTACAGCAGTAAAGTTGCCTTTCAACACCTTGTTTAGCGAGGATCAAGAGGGAAAAACATACCTGACCCCATCGTTACCAATCTGCCAGCTGCTGTTGCATCTGTCTATGACAGTATCGGTAAGAGTGACCATCGCACAGTCCTCATGGAGACAAAGGCCCGCCTTCACAGTGAAAACAACCTCCATCGTATTGTGTGGCACTAAATGGGACAGACTTCACACAGATCGAGCAACTCAAGACTGGGCATCCATGAGGTGTGTGGGCCATCAAAAGCAGCAGAATTGTACTCCAACACAATCTAACCTCATGGCCTGGCATATCTCCCACTCAACCATTACCATCAAGCCAGGGACCCTGGTTCAATGGAGAGTACAGGAGGGCATGCCAGGAGCAGCACCAGGCATACCCGAAGATGAGGTATCAAGCCGGTGAAGCCACCAAATAGGACTACTTGCACCCCAAACAGCGAAAGCAGCAAGTGATAGACAGAGCTAAGCGATCCCACAACCAACGGATCAGATCTAAGCTCTGCAGTCCTGCCACATCCAGTTGTGAATGGTGGTGGGCAATTAAACAACTCACTGGAGGAGGAGGCTCCACAAATATCCCCATCCTCAATGATGGAAGGGCCCAGCACATCAGTGCAAGAGGTAAGGCTGAAGCTTTCACAGCAATCTTCAGCCAGAAGTGCTGAGTGGGTGATCCATCTCAGCCTCCTCCAGTGGTCCCCAGCATTACAGATACCAGTCTTCAGCAAATTTGATTCACTCCACGTAATATCAAGAAACGGTTGGAGACACTGGACACTGCAAAGGCTACGGGTCCTGACAACATTCCGGCAATAGTACTGAAGACTTGTGCTCCAGAACTTGCCGCTCCCCTAGCCAAGCTGTTCCAGTACAGTTACAACACTGGTATCTACCCGACAATGTGGAAAATTGCCCAAGTATGTCCCATACATAAAAAGCAGGACAAATCCAACCCAGTCAATTACCGCCCCATCGGTCTCCTCTCGATCATCAGTAAAGTGATGGAAGGTGTCAGTAACAGAGCTATCAAACAGAACCTGCTCAGTAATAACCTGCTCAGTGACGCCCAGTTTGGGTTCCGCCAGGGCCACTCAGCTCCTGACCTCATTCCAGCCTTGGTTCAAACATGGACAAAAGAGCTGAATTCCAGAGGTGAGGTGAGAGTGACAGCCCTTGAAATCAAGGCTGCATTCGACCGAGTGTGGCATCAAGGAGCCCTGACAAAACTGGAATCAGTGTTTATCATGGGGCAAACTCTCTGGTGGTTGGAGTCATACATGACAGATAGGACGATGGTTGTGGTTGTTGCAGGTCAATCATCTCAGATCCAGGACATCTCTGCAGGAGTTCCTCAGGGCAGTGTCCTCAGCCCAACCATCTTCAGCTGCTTCATCAATGACCTTCCCTCCATCATAAGGTCAGAAGTGGGGATGTTCGCCGATGATTGCACAATGTTCAGCACCATTCGCGACTCCTCAGATACTGAGGCAGTCCATGTTCAAATGCAACAAGATCTGGACAATATCCAGGCTTAGGGTACCAAACGGCAAGTGACATTTGCGCAACACAAATGCCAGGCTATGACCATCACCAATAAGAGACAATGTAACCATCGCCCCTTGACATTCAATGGTGTTACCATCACTGAATCCCCCACTATCAACATCCTGGGGGTTATCATTGACCAGAAACTCAGCTGGACTCACCACATTAACACAGGGGCTACAAGAGCAGGCCAGAAACTAGCAATACTGCAGTGAGGAACTCACCTCCTGACTCCCCAAAGCCTGTCCACCATCTACAAGGCACAAGTCAGGAGTGTGATGGAATACTCCCTACTTGCCTGGATGCGTGCAGCCCCAACAACACTCAGGAAGCTTGATACCATCCAGGACAAAGCAGCCGCTTGATTGGCACCACATCCACAAGCATCCACTCTCTCCACCACCGACGCTCAGTAGCAGCAGTGTGTACCAGCTACAAGATGCACTGCAGAAATTCACCAAAGATACTCAGACAGCACCTTCCAAACAAATGACCACTTCCATCTAGAAGGACAAGGGCAGTCGATACATGGGAATACCACCACCTCCAAGTTCCTCTCCAAGCCACTCACCGTCCTGACTTGGAAAAATATCACCGTTCCTTCACTGTCGCTGGGTCAAAATCCTGGAATTCCCTCCCTAAGGGCATTGTAGGTCAATCTACAGCTGGTAGACTGCAGCGGTTCAAGAAGGCAGCTCACCCCCACCTTCTCAAGGGCAATTAAGGATGGGCAAGAAATGCTGGCCAGCCAGCGACACCCACATCCCACAAATGAATAGAAAAAAATCTATCCATCTTGGCCTTAAAAATATTTGAGTGCTTCTTCCCTCACCTTTTGGCAAAGAGATTCCAAACACTCTCAATCCTCAAAGAAAAATGTGGGACGCCCTTTTGCAAACAGTGACGCCTAATTCTAGACTCTCCTAAAAGAGGAAGACCCCTCCAGATATTACATGGTACTATCAAAGCACCTCTTACTTTTGTAAACTCAAGTTGTTAAAAGCCAAGCCTTTTGTTTTATTTATTCATAGGACGTGTCTGCCTGGGCCAACACTCACTACCATAAGACCATAACAAGTAGGAGCATGAGCAGGC